AAGATATCAGTGAAGACGGTAAAGAATATATCTCCACAGCTGCAAAGAATTCCCCCGAGCCAGTGAAGGAAATTGTTGAAACAATTAACTCATCAGCTGATGATCTGAATGATGTTTCGAAAGTCCTCGACTTTCATGTTGGGATACCTTATGGTATGTGTAGCCTATTTAATAACCGTGATGCCTATTGTTTTTTCAATAATTAGCTCATGTCCTTGATTCTTTAATAATAATTAGCTCATAAAAAACTATATGACCTCTCTGTTTCAATTAATTTGTACCCCAGTAACATCCTCAAACAAAAACTTTGTGTCCCAGGCCCAATCATCTCCCAGCTGGTGCCGACAAAGATAAGATAAGAGATTAATTGAGGTACGCTCATGCATGCATTGCGTCGTTTAGCTTTACCATGCTGTTGATATATAATAATAATTCAGATTCAAAAACCATGCTTGCTCCATAGTACATGCATTAATTAATTCCATAGAGATAAAAAATGGCTATACCTTAATTCCATAGACTTGAGCAATTAATTCAGAATACGACCACAGAGAATATAGTTTTTTATTTGATATTCTCACCAACTCAGATATGGCGAGCATCATCTCGCACATTCTTCAAATTGGTGGGTGTATATAGACAGTCTCCAGCCCTAACCAATTATTTTGTGCACTTGGTTATAGTCATTCTACTTTACATTAATTTCAAGGTAATCTTTATCTAATATTATGTTGCAGTGCACAAGTACGTTTACGTAGCTAGTTTCTTCGTTTCCTAGCATATATATACAAAGAATTAATTGAAATTATTTTATTGGCATTTTTGCGGTTTCTCTTACGGACTTGCATTGCTTTCATTATACATACTGAAAACAATGACTCTAATTAATTTGCTGATCATTCTTTGGTGCTTCATAATCGGGCAGATAAAGGTCATAAAATATCTGTAAATTAGAAGCTTTGTGCTTCATAATTTGAACCTATATATATCTCTTGAATTTCTTGATTTCTCATTGATCGTTGACTTATTCAACATTCTCTTCTTCTGTGGCCTTATACATCGGTATAGAAGAACAAGGTGTTGTTTGAATATATTATATATGGCTATATATATTTTGATAAATCTGCCAGAGTTTAACTGAGTTATGAGTTTGTTGGAAGTGTTCTTAATTTCCAATATCATTCATATACGCATGTTTGTTGAGATTTTTTTTTGGTCTTATTAAGTAAGAGGGCTAGGATTTCTAAAATTCACTATTCTAAACTTTGTTTCCTTTTATTATTATTTTTCTTTTGTGGATGAAAAAACTTTGTTTCCTTAACTAGCTTTGTGGAACCTTGTTTCAGGTATATTCTTGAAGATGGATGCTGTTGGGAGGTCCGGTGGAGCCAAATCTGACCACTTGCTTTTGGTAAGATACAATGATGCAACTTTAAAAAGGCACTCACTCTCTCTTTTTGTAAACCCTTATGCCAGCCAAGTGTAATGTTTTGATTAACCATATGAAAAATTATAAGCTTTTCTTTAATTTTTTTATTATTTAAATTTTATTGAATTAAAATTTTGACTTTGAATTTTGTAGATTTCTGGATTTAAGTACTAAAAGCATCTCTTCTTTCAGACTTTCACTTGACCAACTATTCACTGTTCTGTTTGGTGGCTTCCCAACATGTCTTACAGATTTGGATGATACTCTTACCCCCTGAGTTCAGGTCTCAACTTGGCATGCCACAAGAACATTGAAGGTATGGCCATAAACTACTATGCTATTGGTTAGGTGATAATATTGTATTTAATTACAAATAACCATTAATAAATTACGAATGAGGTTGGGCAATTTTCATTGTAGAGTTCATGCTTCAGCACTTGCAAATAGAAGAAAGTGAGGTACTGAGGATGTGCTTGGAACTGTACAGGGAATATAGGACAACCATGGCCGGTCTAAAGGTAAAACAGAGCGCTGTCCAATTGACCTTGGAGTTTGTTTTCGATCAATCTTATCTTAGTATCCTACTTCAATATTTATATATATCTGGCTGGAACTTTGATAGTTTCCATCTCTTCATCCAGGCTCTTGGTTGCGAATTTGACAAGGATGAGTTTCCTGCATATGTCCACGGAAGGCTACCCTACTATTCATTGAAGCGCGATCTGGTGTTAAGGAACCTTTTGTTATCGATGCCCCAAAGAAAAATAGGACGTCAATACTAGTTAAAATTGTTCACATGACGTGCCTCCTGTTCATTGTCATAGGTTATGGTACACTAAGGGCTCGTTTGGCCAGAATCACTTATGGGGAAAATCACCTCTCATGTACTTTTCCATATAATCACTTAAGTGATTTTGGGCATAAGCACCTTCTATGTACTTCTCTATAAAATCACTTAAAACCACGTGAAGTGATTCTCCATAGAAGTGATTCTAAGGAGAAGTGATTCTCCATAGAAGCATTCTTTGGCCCATTCAGAATCACTCTCAATCAAGCCCTAAGATGCTTCTATTGTTTTTTCAAATCTTCACTAAAGTTGACATGGTGCATGCAGCTCAAGTTCTCAACAGGCTAGGCTTGGAAAACTGGTTTGAAGGCATCATGTGCTTTGAAACTCTTAACCCTTATCACCTTGAACCAATTGATTTCATGATGGCATCAGATGACCAAGTGGTCATCATAGAACGTACACCAGAGGCTAAAGCCAAGTCACCAATTCTCTACAAACCCTCTTTCGAAGCAATTGCAGTTGTTATTTTTATTGCAAATTTTGATCCATAAAAAACTGTAAGATTGGATGCCTCGCTAAACTTGGAAGATCCCCATTTTTACTTCTTTTCTTGTTCAAGCCTTTACCTATTCTTTTGCTTCAAACATTAGGGAGATTATATGATGGTGATTATTTTTTTCCTGCAGATTTTCTTTGATGAAAGTGCTAGGAAAATAGTAAGTGGGAAGGTGGTAGGACGTCATACAGTCATTGTAAGAGCTCTACAACTGAAAAAAAACTAATAGAAATAACTGAACCATCAGAGGAAGGAAACTTGTAGCTCATCGTGTGTAAAGTAAAGCTTGATTGAGAAAAGAAGGAAAAATGGGGATCTTCCAACTTTCGCGAAGCATCCAATCTTACAGTTTTTTCTGGATCAACATTTGCAATAAGAATAGCGGCTTCAATTGCTTCCACAGAGGGTTTGCAGAGATGGCTTTAGCCTCTGGTGTCTGTTCTATGAGTTTTGGTCATCTGATTCTATCATGCAATCAACTGGTTCAAGGTAATGAGGGTTAAGAGTTTCAAAGCATATGATGCCTTCAAAACAGTCTTCTAAGCCCAACCTATTGAGAACTTTGAGACGCATGCACCTTGTCAGTGGTAGTGAAGATTTGAAAACAGTATTAGAAAAAAAAAACATTATTATGATCATGCACGAAGGTATATTAAATATACATAGAATGTACAACAAATAATGTACCTACATGTATAATAATGTACACAAATTTAAACTAATATCTATTGAAATTTCATATCTTTTGAGGATGATTATGTTGTATATGGTATGATATTCAACTTAATGCGTAAGAAATCACATACCAATAGAACTGTCATTGCCGCCATGGAGACAGGGACAACAACTAAAATTGCAGCCACCCAAAAAAAAAAAAAACCATAACAAAATGAAAAGAAAAAAAACCAACCAAAAAGCCCTCGATCCAAGCATATTTGGGCAAAATAGGGAATGGGAGAAATGGGGAGGGATGGAAAGAGAGAGAGGACAAGGAAAGAGGCTTGGTTTAAGCATTTTTGCTTTTATTTGCCTTGTAATGTTGCAGACCTAAGAGCTCATAAATTTGAAGAGAGAGAAATGGACGCCAAATGACCCCTATAATTAATGATGCTTTATTTTAATGAAATTTGAAAATTTATCTAATGTTGACATTTTTTTTTTTGTAATTACAAAAGACCTCCCAAACTATAGGGTCATTTACGAGTTCATACCAATTTTTGGGAGACATTTACAATTACATACTCAAAGTAGCAGAAAACCTACAATTTACCAACTCATTAACTGCCTATGTGTACAATTTTTTAAGATTATTTTCGGCATCTCACTGCAGGGGTGTGTTTTGAGAAGTTTCCCACCCAGTACATTACACGTGTCGATGAATTATTGAAAACCCAACCCGAATTCGCTAACAAATCCCCAAATCAAAATAGCCTAGCAAAACCAGTTACATTAATTCAGGGTATGAACTAGTAAATGACCTTATGGTTTGGGAGGTCTTTTGTAGTTAATCCCATCTTTTAAAAAAAATAATAAACAAGCATTTATGCTGAATTAAAAAAGAATTAAAGTATTTATGACTCCCTAGAATGTAAAATTTTTGTTGAAATTTTATAGAAAGTTTAGTTGTGTAGTTAATTTAGATAAATTTCAACTAAAGATAAATAAATTATAACAAAAAAAACTAGGAGCATAAATGTAGATGTTTTAATGAGATAGTTGACTTAGTTCACAAAAGATAACATTTTTTTTTATACAAGCGAAAACGATATTCTATATTAATCTAATCTAAACTACATGAAGAGCGATTCGAAATCATGTGTAGAGTGGGGAGCTATCCGCTCTAGCCAACTTGACTAAGTCCATGTTTAGACAAAAGATAACATTTTATAACAAAAGATGAAGTTCAGAAGTATTGAGTGGGCATTAGTGTAATCCAGTAATATTAATTTGAAAAACTTGGTGAAAATGAGGTCAAAGAATTGAAGGGTGTCCCGTGTCCCCACCCATCCAAAAGTCCAAATTCATTGATGAGCATGATGATGGGCCAAGTCACTAGCAGTGTTTATTTATTGACCCCAACAGCACCATTCCAATACACCAAGTCACAAACACCGCCAATCAATCATTCATAACAAAATCGTTTTAAAATAAAGAAAGGGGCCAAACCTCCATTTCCATGTAACAGTCCACGCTTTTCAACGTGAAATTAATTCATTTTTATTTTAACTTTTTGCCCTTTTTCCTTTTATATTTTTAGGAGTTGTTTTTTACCCTCCGAAACCATTTGAAAACCCCAAGAAAAAGAGCCTCCTTGATGAACTAAACTTTGATTCTTCATCATCAAACCGAATCCCAATTTATTTATTTTGAAAAATCTACCTTTTTTGTTGTTGTTAAATTTAGTTTTCAACAAACATTTTCTCTGCCCCAATTTCACTCATTTTGTTGCTCTGTAGACTATATGTGTGTCTCCCTCTCTCTCTCTCCACATCCATTTGCCGGAACACATTCGATCCCTCGATAGAATATCTCTGACTTTGATTTTCCTTTCTTGATTCTCAGCAATCTCTTACTCATAGAAGAAGAAAAAGGCTTAGCTTTTGAAATTTGAACAGCTAGTTGCATATGCGAGTACGATTCAATCAGTCTGAGCTCTGCTCCGTATTTGGATATGGATTATTCCAAATGGGTTTATGTCTGCGTTTGTATACGATGTATTCCTTTCACTGTCCTCGGCGCTGCTAGATCTGTCTGCCTTTGTGCTCGATCCACTGCTTTATTGATGCTTTAACAAGCTCTTCACGAGGTCAGATCATGGAATTTCACACTCTCTACTTGTTACTTTCTCCTCTAACTCACTCACTCACTCACTCTAGTTCTCATTTACTCACTGTGAATTGAAAGTGATGCACTGACCAAAAAGGGGTGGAGTTTATTTTAGTTTTAATTTAATGGACTAAAATGAATTTTAGAAGAGAAAATATTATATGGGCATGGGTGCTTTGGGCTTGGATATTTAATGATTGATGATGCATCATGCATATGGACAGTGACCAGAATACTGTTAAGTTTAAGAAAAGATTATATTCTGATGCTGCAAAGTTACAGTTACAGAGGTGTCAATTCTAAGTAATGGGTAACGGCACCTCTCGTGTTGTGGGATGTTTCGTCCCCTTTAATGGGAAGAGCGGAGTGGATTTAGAGTTTCTGGAGCCACTAGACGAAGGATTAGGCCATTCCTTCTGTTATGTTAGACCATCCATTTTCGAATCTCCTGCCATTACCCCTACAAACTCTGAGAGGTTTACGCTTGATTCCAGCACTCTTGATTCTGAAACTTTAAGTGGCTCCTTTAGACATGACTCCCTAGATGATCCCTCAGCTTTACACAAACCAACTAAGTTATTCCCAGAAACAACATTCAAGACAATCTCAGGGGCTTCTGTCAGTGCTAATGTGTCCACGGCTCGCACTGGCAACCAGACTGCCCTCTTTGCTACTGATGTCCAAGAGCCTGCCGCATCATTTGAGAGCACCTCCTCATTTTCTGCAATTCCATTGCAGCCTGCTCCTCATGGCTCTGGTCCTTTGAATGGCTTTATGTCCGGGCCTCTTGAGAGAGGTTTCGCTTCCGGTCCTTTGGAAAGGGGTAGTGGTTTCATGTCTGGGCCAATCGAGAAGGGTGCAATGTCTGGTCCTATTGATTCTACTGACAAATCTACCTTCTCTGCACCGCTTGCACGCGGTCGTGGAAGACCAGGCTTCCAGCGTCTCATGAGGAGTGTTAGCGGGCCGATGAAAAACACCCTCTCTTGGACCTTCTCAAAACATTCTGTGGGTTCTGGTTGGATGCAACGGTTCTTCTTACACCCAGTGACTCAACTTGCCTGGAATCCTAAGGAGCCAAAGTATCGGCCAGAGACTTCACGAAACTATCTTGAAGGAGGACCGTCTGAAGGGGAGTCTAGAAATACTCACAACTTGCAATGGGCTCACGGAAAGGCTGGTGAAGATAGGGTTCATGTTGTGCTTTCCGAAGAACAAGGGTGGTTGTTCATTGGGATATACGATGGATTTAGTGGGCCAGATGCACCAGATTTTCTGATGAGCAAGCTCTATAGAGCTATTGACAAAGAACTCGAGGGGTTGCTTTGGTATTATGAAGATAAATCTCCAAATGATCCATTAAAGCCTGAACCTCTTAAAACTGGAAATTCCAAGGCTGGTTCAGTGTCCAGCAAGGAAGTTCTTTCAAATCTTGCTTCAAGCCAAGAAATTTCTAGTAGTTTAATAGAACCATGCAATCCAGGAATTGTCAAGGGTCTGTCATCTAGGTCTGAAATAGTTGAGGAAAACAATGAAGTTAGGATGAGTATTGAACAGCATTTACCTAATTCAGAACAAGACAGCATCTCGGGCACTGCTTCTGTTTCAGTTCCAGCTGGAAATTTAACTGGTCAAGGCAGAAAAAGCATGCGGCTTTATGAGCTGCTTCAGATGGAACCTTGGGATGGAAAAGATTATGTGTCACCGTTAGAGCTTGATAAGCATAGAAATGGTACATGGGATTGCCAGCCAGGTCTAGATGCTTTGGATACGCAAGATGAAAATTCAAAGTATAGCTTTTTGAATACAAAGGGAGATGGCTCTGGCCATCGTGGTGAAGACCCCACTACTTCAGGAGGAGGTGGAGGTGGAGGTGCTGGTGTTGAATCCAGTCATCAAGATGGCATAGATGTTCTTTCTGTTTCAGGACAGAGGCAGGGTGCGAGAAAGAGTTCAATGAGCTCAAAGATTAGGAAAATGTACAGAAAGCAGAAGTCGTTGCGTAAGAAACTATTTCCTTGGAGTTATGATTGGCACAGAGAAGAGGCTTGCGTCGATGATAAAATGGGAGAGCCTTTGGGACCTATTAGGAGATGCAAATCAGGAATTGTTGATCATGCAGCAGTTTTAAGAGCAATGTCTCGAGCACTTGAATGGACTGAAGAGGCTTATATGGAAATGGTGGAAAAGGCTCTTGACAAAAACGCAGAACTTGCTTTGATGGGATCATGTGTTTTAGTGATGTTAATGAAGGATCAAGATGTGTATGTCATGAACCTTGGTGATAGCCGTGTAGTTTTGGCACAAGAAAGACCAAATGATCGCCATCCTAATCCAAATCTTGGAAAGGATGATGTGTGGCATAGGAATAAATCCAGAGAGTCGTTAGTCCGTATGGAGCTGGACAGGATATCAGAGGAGTCTCCGGTACATAATCAGAATGGTCAAGTTAACAAGATTAATAAAAACAGAGAGATATCCATATGCAGATTAAAGATGAGGGCAGTTCAGCTTTCCACTGATCACAGCACAAGTGTTGAGGAGGTGTGTTTTTCATTTTTTGAGTTATTTGATCTGGTTATTCTTTCGTCTTGTTATCAAGGTTTACTTCGTATTGGTTAGATGTTATTCATTCTTTCAGTCATTCATCATTAGCTGAACATAATCATAAACAATGCTTTGCATATTTGCTCATGTATGCAAGCATGTGCATGTGCACCTGCATCTGAATCTCCCACCTACAGTGGTTTACTCTGCAATGCATGTGTTTTTGTTGGGTGTGTGCATTTTCTGTGTGCTCCAATAATTAAGAAAATCAAACCCAACCTTATAGTGAAAACCCAACTAGAAAGCCTAGCCTTGCTGCAGGTCTCTTGATTGTATGCCTATCATTCTTTTGATTTAAGTATGTATTTCATACTTAAGCTGCACTGATTATGGACTTTTAGAAAACTAACTAGTACTTTTCATTAATTGTTATGCACTTAAATCAGGATAGTACAAGAGAAGGTAATTGGATATTGTCAGCATGCAATTGAAGAATAATCTTGTATTCTTGACTTCTGCAGGAAGTTTTCAGGATAAAGGCAGAACATCCTGATGACAACCAAGCCATATTAAATGATCGAGTAAAGGGGCAATTAAAGGTTACCAGAGCATTTGGTGCTGGGTTTTTGAAGAAGGTCAGTTCAGCTGGTAACTTTTACCTACAAAAGATCATCTTAAAAAAATACTCAAGTTTGCATAATTTTTTTTTTCTTGTATCACTAAACTTTGTATGAATTTATTTGTTTTTTAAAATTATATAGGCATGAAAACGGGTACAGATCCACCTTTTACAAATGTGTATGTGTTTCTGTATCATACAAGTTTTCTTTCATAAACAGACTTCTAGTATACAATTGCAGAATCTTGATTAGATGCCAAAGAATAAAAAATGAAATGCAAAATGTGGAAACGCAATGTATAATTTTTACAAAAGAGGGAAAATCCTGAATGTACTTTTAACAATTTGAGCAATTACAATGTATCAGGCTGGAATGTCATAAATGTCTGCTGTGAGCATTTTGTTTCTACTGTTCTTTAAAGTACATCTTATTCTAATCAAATTCTTTATTTCTGTGGTACATATCCATGCAAGTGCGTGCGCACACACCCACACACACAGAGAGCACACCTTGTCTCTCTCATGGAAAGTTTTGTCCCAAAATCTATTAAATAGTAGCTGTTTTCTGGTGGATGAAGTTACATTGAAATAACAAAGAATTGATAAGTAGAAGTGACTATGAAGAAAATAGAAAAAGACAATTTTTTTCCTATATATTATATTATATGATTGACTGTTATTTTATTTATTTATTCCTTTCATGATTTGGTTTTATCATCCTTCAATGTGCTAAGACTCTTGGACATAATTTTCTTTTTGTTTCCAGTGGTAGTTGCTGAAATCATTTCATGCATTGGAGGCATAACTGTTGGACCAATATAGAATGTTTACATGCAGATTTTATGGCATGAACTAGTAGAAGTAAATGAACTTAAGATAGAACATCCCTTAACAATAATGGAAATGCATTTATGGCGTGTTTACTTGGAATGGGTATTAGTTTATTGCAATTGCAAGTAAAATAAAATAGTGTACTCAAATAAATTGCTGTAAAAAAGGAGTGAAGAATCAAGAAACTTGGTGAAATTTTTGGCTTTTCAAAGTGAACGGGAGAACCCCTATTATTTTGCTGAAGATAAAAAATTTCTAGCAACTTTTTGGAGAAATTGCAGACATGAGCTATTTTGACCATCATTCGCTTGTAAAATATAAATTTCCCGAAATTGTTCAAATTTCAAGCAAAATCTCCACCAATTTCGGAGAAATTTCCCTTTTTTTCAAGAATTAAAAAAAATACTGAAAAAGAAGAAGTAGAAAGAGAAGGTCCTTGTCTTTTGGGAAGCTGTCCCTTATTGACATGCTATTGTAACCAGTGTTGTGAAAAGCGTTTTTGAGGCGTGCCTCAATGCACACGTCATGGCGAGGCATCATCCGGTCTCCTCAAAGCACAGCTTGTTTAGAAGATTTCATGTTTGGCATACATGATGGAGGCTAGGCAGTGCGAGGTGCACACAATCTGCAACTGAGGTGGCCTGAGGTTGCCGTTCTGAGTATATGGCCTGGGATGCTTTTAATGAAACAATGTGTTTTGCTAAAGGCTCATTTACTTGAATTGAGATGGTGTCATTTTGTTCATGAAGGTTGGGTCTTGGACAAAAGGGATGTTGTTTGTCATTTAAACCCTTTTAATCCCCACCCAATAGGACTTAGCCCCAAATCAGACTTGCGGAAGCTTAAATGTCCTCCCAAAAGACCTGAACCAGCTTGCCAAATTCCTATCTCCAGTTTAAGCCTCCTGCATCCCTCAGTCTCTTTCTCTTTGGCACTATGAATAAGACTAGATGAGCTTGAATATTGTATGTCTAATTAAATATTTTATGTATGGACATTAATTGTGATGCTGGAATGGGAACTAAAACTTATTGATTATTATATACATTTTAATTTAAATAACTTATGCTTGAGAGGCTTATGCCTCACCTTGCAGGACCAGCAATGCCTCGTTTCTATGTTTTTCCTTTTACAATATTGATTGCAACATCCTCAAACTTCACTCTTGTGAGCTCTCCCTATATATGTTTATATAATATATTATAGAAGTGCAAGTGCAAAATATCTGCTAGTCTCCAAAACAAATTCAGAATTCAGAAGGAAAATTGAAATGTATGCATTGTGCTCAAGGGGTTCTTAAAATTAGACCCAATATTGTCTACGTTTGTAATGAGCCCTATTTTGTGCATTGCCTATGTGATTGCCTTTTACCCTATAATAGGTTTACACTGGACCTTAAGAGATGATTCCTTCCATGCATTTCCTAGGGCACTCAGCATTGCTTGAATTATTGCTTTATCTACCTTAAACTTGTCGAAATAAGTGTATGCAAATTATATATTTTCTATATTGATATAAATGCTTAGGTATGACTGATTAAAACATTGTCTATAACGTATGTTGGTTGCAGCCAACATGTAATGAAGCTCTGCTAGAGATGTTTCGAGTTGATTATGTGGGAATTGCACCTTACGTTAGCTGCATTCCTTTTGTTCTTCACCATCGACTTTCGTCAAGTGACCGATTTTTGGTACTGTCCTCTGATGGACTCTACCAATACTTCAGCAATGAAGAGGTGGTTGCCCATGTCACATGGTTCATGGAAAATGTCCCGGAAGGTGATCCTGCACAATATCTCATTGCAGAGCTTCTCTTCCGTGCTGCGAAAAAGAATGGTTAGTCCTTTAAATTTATTTTCACTGATGACTAGGGTCTCAATGGAAACTTACATGGGATGACTCTTATCCCAAAGAAGATATGAACAGAAAAACAGAAAGAAAAAAAAAGTAGAGAGCAAGATGATATGTAATGCGAGTGGCACATGGATTGCTTGGAAATACATTCATTTGTAACTCCTTCCTTGCCTTCTTGCCGCATATGGTGGTTGGCTACTTGGCTGCTGCAGTGATATAGTTTTTACAGTTTTTTGGGTAAGGTCAAATGTAGAGCAACTCAAAATGCTTTTTGGCTGCTTCTGTGAGAATGTGGAGGTGAAAATGTCCCACATTGAAAAGTTAGAAAACCTTGCAAGGGCTTATAAGGTGTTGGTCTACTCCTCCCATTGCCAATTGGTTTTAGGATGGAACCTCAACTTCCTTCATGGTATCAGAGCGGGTTTCCCACGTGTGAAAGCCAAACTGCCACACGTGCTCCACGTCACCCAAAATATGTTGTCCATGTGTTAGGCTTGAAAATTTGCTACATGTTGTCGTCTGTTGTTGAATTCAGTCATATCATGCAGATCATGAGTTAAACTTCACAACTGGAAATTAATATTACTGTGCTATCCAAAAATTTTGTGCACATTTTTCGCTTGGTCCTTTTTCAATCTAAGCTTAGTTAATTTGCTTTTGATTTGCCTAATTCTGGAAGAATTATGTTAGTATTGTACATAATTATATTTATTATAGCTTCCCGTTGATTGTTGCAGGAATGGATTTTTATGAATTGCTTGATATTCCTCAAGGAGATCGACGGAAATACCATGATGATGTTTCTGTTATGGTAGTTTCACTGGAGGGAAGAATTTGGAGATCATCTGGATAAGTATCTCACTGGCAATTTTTTAGTTACCATTTCAAACATTTGTATATTGCTCAACATTGTAACAATTTTTGGGCAAAGTATTAAGTCATTTTGGAAAGAATCAGAGTCTTGATGTATTCTGTTATAGAAGCTTTTCTTTCTTTTCTTCTTTCATCTCTGTTAAATATTGGTGTGCAGAAGTCCGAATGAATTATCCTGCTGCGAAAGTCTTTTGGTTGCATCAGGAAATATGTTTATTGTTTTCTTAGGAAGTGGTTAATTTGTCTAGTCACCTCCGCACCCATGCGTGCGATGTCATCCTGGAAATTATAAATATCAAGTGAGATTCTAAGTTGTAAAGTGAATAAATAATTGAAAGTAATAAAAATAAAGTTAGAAACTTGGACAATAAACAAACACGAATTAGAGTGAGAGCAAGAGTGGTATGGTAGGAGAGCCATCCCTCTCAATTCCGAGTCCACCTCCCACCCCCCTTGGACTGGAAGCTCTTTCAGATTTGGTGAAACATTCTCTCTTTCAGATTTGAAGTCTCTTCTATACCTGACTAAACCTACTCTGCCTTGCTAGCTATCTTATCACGTTACAATCTCTCACCTAACCTAACCCCAACGGGGCACGGCCATCTGAGCTCATGGCTCCTCATTTGCTGGATTTGAAATGGCTTTCTTTGTATTTAAGTTAAAAACCTACCATATGTAGTTCTTGCTTAAATTGTACAGCAATCGCCCTCATCTTAATTTCTACCAGATCAACCAAACTTTGAATAATCCTTAGCTCTCTTCCTCCATTATAAAATATATTTAGCATGAGGCTATATATATATATATATATATATACTTTAATGAATTTGTTTCACAAGTGATATTTATCGTTGTGTTCTTGGATCAATTAAGCAATGGCTGCCAACTTTGTTGTATATCTAGCCATCTTCACATTCACTGCTGCGTTCTCCGGTGCACTTGCATCAGACCCGGACTTGCTTCAAGATGTCTGCGTGGCTCTACCATCTTCTTCAGGTATGAATCGTACATACTCTATTCTATGTATACACTAGCTATAATTAATATTCTTTGGAAACATTCGTAATTACTTGCTACGGCCGGCGTACGTACACCCCTCCCTCACACACAATCACAAGTGACAGGACTGAAACATAAACATATATATATATATATACGTAGGGGGGGTAAAAGTGAACGGGTTTGCATGCAAGGATGATGCAAATGTGACTGCAGCTGATTTCTTCTTCGACGGCCTTGCGAAGCCAGGGCTGATCAACAACTCAGTGGGCTCTATCGTAACTGCAGCCAATGTGGAAAAGGTTCCAGGCCTCAACACACTGGGCGTGTCCCTGTCGCGCATCGACTACGCACCTGGTGGACTTAACCCACCTCACACCCACTCGCGTGCCACTGAGATGGTATTTGTGCTGGACGGCGAATTGGATGTGGGATTCATCACTACAGCCAACAAGCTGGTTTCCAAGACCATCAACAAAGGCGAGATCTTTGTGTTTCCGAGGGGTCTCGTTCACTTCCAGAAGAACAACGGGGACAAGGCCGCTGCTGTAATTGCTGCCTTCAACAGCCAATTGCCTGGTACTCAATCCATCCCTGCAGCATTGTTCACGGCAACACCTCCTGTTCCTGACGAGGTCTTGACCAAAGCCTTCCAGCTTGGTACCAAGGAGATTGACAAGATCAAATCCAAGCTTGCTCCAAAGAATTAATTAAAAATACAATATTTTATTTTTATATATAGTTAATTCTTCACTCCACGCTGCCACCGATTTCCATTCATTTTTCTATTTTTCTTTCCTCCTCCCTCTATCATTGCTTCAAATTCAAACTTTTAATTTCGGTCGATGTCCCGATATGTCTGTTGGGAATTTGATTTTTGATCAACTTTACTTTAGAATTAATGTATGAGTGCTACTGAATGAACCCTAAAATTAACTGAGTACACTCTACTACCAAAGTATTTATTGAATTACTAATTTACCCTAATACAAAATAACCAAAAAGGATAAATTGAATTATGAAACAAATGTAGTTTTAATAAGTGCACCCTACTCACTATATTCAACTTTAATCCATGTTTGGATTAATCACAGAGCTGGAACTTTTTTGGTGAACCTCATGGTTCGCGTTTTGGTTTATGATGGGCTCCCTAGCCCTCCTTTGTAATCTGTCCTTTCTTGGGTTTATTTCTTTCACAGCACTATGTTTTGTTTTGTGTGAAATTTTCTCAGGTTTTGTCTGGGGTGGAGTCTCTCCCCTCGGTCTGTTTTGTATTTCCTCTTTTTTGGAGGTTGAATGAAGGAAGTATTATCGAAAAAAAAAAATGGGGCTTTAATATGAATATGGAAAATAAAATAGTCAACTTTGATCAAAGTATTGAATAATTGAATACCCAAAGGCGTAAGTTTCGGGATGAGCCCACATTAGATTCTACTTTTCGAGTTTGATGTTGAGTGATAGTGTATTAGGGTGTACGAAGGATATTTTTTGTAGTTAAATATGGTGTACTTAGTTAATTTTACATTTTGATTAAAATATTATGGTGTACTTAAATTATAGGGTGTACTCAGTTAATTTTAGGGTTTATTTAGCAACACATGTATATGAATATGGAAAATAAAATAGTCCAACTTTGATCAAAGTATTGAATAATTGAATACCCAAAGGCGTAAGTTTCGGGATGAGCCCACATTAGATTCTACTTTTCGAATGACTGAAAAAAAATAATCACAAAATAGGCTACATGAATACGGGATAAATCAAATAGTAGAGAACAAATCTAGGTTCCTTCATTATTATTTACAATGTGTAAAAATTTAGGTTTTTAATTTGGCAAAAAGTCATTTATGGTCCGTCACTACAACAAACACATGCCTTTTTAATGACACAATTTTAATGATGAGTCTAAAATACGCGTCATTAAGTTATGTCATCCATGATGCGTTTTATATGAGTGTCATTGAATATAGTTTATGACACACATACCATGACACTCGGATTAACATGTCATTAAAAATATCTTCACCGGGGTAGATGTCACAGATGCTATTTTACCTTTAGAGGACGCATGTGACCATTTAAGGTTTTATAGTTTAACGGTGCATTATAAACGTCATTGAATTTTGGAAATTCGACCCTTGTATTAGTTTTCCACTTTGGTCCTTATAGTTTCAATTTTGGCAATTTGACTCTTATAGTTTGATATCCTTACAATTTTAGGACACATTGCTTATTTTGTCCAAAACCGTATAAAATTATTCCCAAAATAATCGGCCACATCAGTGACATGTTCATATTCATTCACAAAATTGGAAGGAAATTTGGACTTGTTCTTGACTTGCAAGGATGTCAAACTACATGGGGCAAATTGTTATCATTGAAACTACTGGGACCAAAGTGAAAAATCCAAAAAACTATAGGGACCAAAAGTGATGTTGTTTTGTTTTCTAATAATGTATTAGAATCCCTTTATAAAAAATGTTATTGAAGAGGATCCAAGTTAGCGCCTAATAATGTGTTTTGCCTTCGCATGTGTCCCGCATTGAAAGAAACAATACGTGAATCTCTCCACCAAGTTAAATATTTATGGCTATTTACATTTTCTGCCCTTTATAAATGACTTATTTATACTGATACCCATTTTCAAATTGTCTCATAAAATCACTTTTGTTAACACTTCATCCAAAAATGGTTGACATTATAAAACATTATCAAAATGACAAATTTACACTCGTGGTTAATTACAAAGACACCCGTTGATATTTATCATGTTTTCACACAACCCATTGAGTTTTATTATTTATTCACATAATTTTAGAAATCATAGTAATAAGGTTTTGAGATAATTTCATATAACTCCTCAATTGACATTCCTTGGACCCTGCTAGGCTAATTGAGGTTGTTGCAGGGTTACGAGCCATGTGACATATGTTTGATCCAAACTTCTAGTCGATAGAACTATGAATTCATAGTTTATAGGAAAAAGGGAACAAGAGGAATTTTAAGACAATTAGAGAAACAAAAGGAAGAAACTAAGGAACTACTCTAAGTTTTGCTTTGAGAATTGCTTGATTCATTTCAATGAATAACTTGTGTATTTGTACAAGGTTTGGTTGCTAAAATTAACTAAAATAAAATAGTAAATTATTTTAAGCCATAAAGAATGAATTACCTAAAATCTCACCCATTTAAAACCATTAACTTTTTATGGTTTACAACAATTCATTATGAACCATTAGTTTTTATGGTTTTAAATAATTTAATAATATAATATAATTAATTATAATTATATTATATTACGTTTATTTTTGTTCGTAGATCCTCTTGGATCATGGCTCCCCCATTTAAGATGTTTGAGTTCTTGGTCAAGCTAAATTGTGAGATGAGGAAACTCTGTTATTGCCTTGTCTTGAATATACCACTTCAACTTGCTAGGAAGTTGACTTTTTCTACAAATACGGAAATACTCATACTTTCCATGTTGGGTCTCACTAACCTTCTGTTCCAAGATACAATCTTTCTACAAAGGATCTTCTCGTTCAATCTTTAAGTCATCAACTGATGGAAGGCGTGTGTCTTCGTCGGGATCATCGTCAAGTAGAGATGGCTCAAAAAGTTTAAGATTCTCGACATTGATGACCGAGTACATATGCATGTATGGTGATAATTGAAGTCGAAAGGCATTATCACCAATTTGTTTGATGATCTTGAAACGTCCATAACAAATAGGCTTTAGTTTCTTGCCTTCACCGGTTAGCCGCTTCTTTCCAAGGTGTAACCATACTAGGTCACCTTCTTTGAAATTACATGGCACACGATGCTTATCATGGCGAGCTTTATATCGTTGCTGAGAACGTTTCAGTTGTGCCTCCACTTTAGTATGAATCTTTCTGACTCGTTCGAGAAATTTCTGTTAGAAATATGCCCTTAAAGCCAACTAATTATGTAATGGTTAGAGTTAATGACATCTTTTATAAAAGACATATTATGTTATCAATGGGCAAGAAATGTTGTTTTATACATTAAATCATCCTATATTATCTTTCAATATGTAGAACAACCATAGTCCAAGGAATACACGAGTGGATATGAGAGCTATGTAATGAGATTGCATACATGGAGACTTCTCATCATCCTTAAATCCTGAATATGTTCTTGGTCATAGGAATATTCATTGGGCGTCAATATTCCGCAAAGACCAGTACACACAGTATCGTCTTTATATGTA